AGTTGTGAAGATGAGGCTGTGCCTCGAATGAGAGGCTTGCAGGACTTTGGACTTAGAACCGCCTCTTCAAAGCGAAAAATTTCATGTTCCAATGGTCCTGATACTTCCTTTAAGTATCTTGCCAGAAGCAACTCTTCAGCTTCTTCCAGTGGTGATCATAGCATGGAGAGGCCCATTTATACCCTCGGTAAGATGTACTTCAGCTTCTTCCAGTGGTGATCATAGCATGGATACTTAAGGCTTCTGGCTCTTTTTGACATGAAATTCATATGCATTTTTGGCTCTGTTTCAGGAAAGGAGAACACTAGGGGTAAGGCAGAGGCTAAAAGGACTAAATATATGTTTACACCAAATGAATCTAATGATGTTTCAGACCTGCATGAGAGTTTACTAAGCCACAGGGAGGCAATGCATTCCTCCTTTGCCGGTGGTGATTCTCGTTATTCAGATTATGACCCTCCTGAATTTTTGGAAGATATGGAATCAGATTATTCTGAATCTGAAACTGATTCTTCTGATATGGAGGAGGATACTGATGATGACATTCCCTTGCTGTCAGGTGAAGCATTTCTGGACAGCTAAAAGCTAGTTTTTCTTATCATATAAATGTTTTCTACTTTTGCGAAACTTGGTTTTCAGTTGTGTCAACACGATATTCATTTCTGATTCTTCTTTGACTGAAAGTTGTGTCAAGCCTCTGGATTAAAACCAATTAACCTTTTTGATTACGTAGACCACGATTTTCTCTGTGTCGCATAGGTGTTAGTTATTCCCTAACTAGAGTTTGAAATCTTCTCTTTCCAGGAGCTGGGGGTCATTTGGAGCGACGCAATACTTTTAGTAGACATATGTCAGGAGAAGATGAAAGTACCAGCAGTGAGGAAGATCATTATGAGTCATCCATTTCTGGCGACTCTTCCTATCTTTATTCCCACAATCCTGATAATGAAGCTAGTACGGTTTCCAAGTGGCAGCTCAAGGGAAAAAGAAACTTGCGCAATCTTCCAAGAAGATCTGCACGGAAGAGAGAAATGCACCGTAATCGTCTGGAAGATGGAAGATATTGTGAATATAAGAGAAGGGCATTTGGCCAAAAGCCTATGGGTTATGGGTTAGTTTTTAATGGGACAAATGATATGAGCGATGAAACTGATGACACTGATCCCAACGCAAGGCAGTTCGGGGATAGAATGATTGGACCAGGTGATGATTATCAGCTCTCAACTATGGTTGCATCTGGATGTAAGAACATCTACAGCCGTGACATGCTGGACTGGGATGATGATCCTTGGGAAGGCCGGATTGGTGTGAAGAAGCGAGGGGAGGAAAAAATCGAAGGTTTATGTCAGGAGTTTGATGCTTCTCAACGACATTTTGGCAGAAAAATGTATTCTCCATTGATAGATGTGGATTTAGAGGTGCGAGGAAGCTATCAGAAAGGGCCTGTCCCAATTGTCTCCCTTATGAGTAAGTTAAATGGCAGAGCAATAATTGGACATCCGGTCGAAGTCGAAGTCTTAGCAGATGGTTCCTCCGAGTCATATATTCAGACAATTGATTACTTTGGTAATGAAGCAACTTACCATGACAAAACCTTTCTGCTACCCTCTGCTTGGAAGACTGCAAGGAGGAGTAATTCCCGGGTTCCACGGCTGCAACCATTCTCATCGTCCCTCGAAGCAGATGATGAAGCAACCTATGATCAATCTCCGGCAGATCAGGGAAGGAAACCGCTTGTTAAGAAACTCGGGTTGGGAAATTTTAGTAATGATGATAACTCGGTGAGGAGAAACAGTTCACTGCGAATTCCACGACCACCTGCAGAGAGAAAGCAGCAGCAGCAGCTGCAGCAAAAGAAGTTGCTGAAGAACACAAATGCTAGTGCTAGTCAAAAGACAAGGGCACTATCGTCATTCAGCAGTGAACAAGGACACAATGGGATGAAGGCGCTACGAGACCGGACACACGAGCTCTCTAACAGACGGGTTTTACCGGGACCACCAACTGTGGCCTGCATACCGGTCAAACTAGTATTTAGCAGATTACTTGAGAAGATAAATAGACCGCCATCAAAGCCAACTGCGAAAGCCTTTAACGAGAGAAGAAGAGATCAATAGCTAAGAGCTACTCAAGTGAAACGAGATTTACAGGTACTAAACATATAGCCATTTCTAGTCTCTGGTTTTCGTAGATTGAGAATCACATTTTAGGGCATTACAAATTCTGGGGTGATGGGTCTTTTTGAGCAACCATCAGGCTCTTATAATGTGATGATTCTGAGGGGAAATTTAGTTGTAGGGAGAACAATTTACTTAGAGAGGAGGCTCTGGTTACTTTTTGGTACAGATCGGTGAAGAAGTAGAACAATATACCACTGGTTCGTTTTGTATATTTTTTTTTTTCTCTCTTCAGAAAGCTTTATGTATCTTTGATTTAGCATCAGCTTTAGTTAATTAGTCTTAGAGAGCTTTTTTGCATTTATTTGATTTATGAATCTTCTCTGGTTAATCAAAATTACACATATTATTAATTTTGTTCTTCGGAGATTCATTTAGCTTGATGATGTTTTTTTATTATCTGTCGTGTGGTCATCATGGCTTGATTAATCGTGCCAAATTAAAACCAAACATCATTTTGATTAGTTTGATTAACCGTGCCAAATTAAAACCAAGCAGCATCATTTTGATTGATTTGATTCTTTTCTATTTATGCGCAGCAACATAATTAATCACTTGGTTAAACATAAGTATCAAACATAGCAGAACTTAAAATGTTTTTTAGGACACTTAAACATACGGTTTGTCTACTTAGAACTTTATTATTATTATACACCCGTAAAAAACAGAGAGAAAGAGAGAATTTAAACATGGTGAGTCTTGTCCGAGTCCTCGAGACTTGTTGGGCGAAACCAAGCAGTCTCCTCCAGCACCGCTGTGTCCTGGCGTGCACCCTCAGCGGCGTCGCTGTGCTCAGTCGGGGAGGGACCGAAAACTCCAGTTTTGGGATGTGGAGACCAATATTTATCAGAATCTGGCTTTATGACTTCGTCAGGTACTGCACTTGCATGCAGTTCATCCTCCACGTTCTTGTCATACGCCGAGGAATGACCACTCCGACTGTTTAAAGAAAAACAATGAATACTTAAAACGATTTTTAATTATCTCACCCACCTCAAATTTATTATCCTAATAACTTCGGTATCAATTTTATTAAAATATATCATTCCTGTTGGGTGGGAGATTGTTGTTAGGTAGGTGAGACATTGACACCACAAAATACCCACAACAACCCCAAAAAGAATGAATTAAGATGGTCTTTGTATTTTGCCCAAAAAAAGAAAAATGGTCTTTGTATAGATTTTTCTTCATCAGGTCTTAGTATATTATTAAAGATGGAAAGTTTTGTTTTTCATAAAAGGTGACCCCGTAAATGCCTTTTCTTTAATAAATTAAAATAAAATCAAGTAATAACGTCAATATATGTCATAGTCAGCTCCATCAATATTTCTATATCTTAAAAACTGTCGGTCCAATTCTTATCTTAATTTAACGATATGAGAAAATCAGCCACGTCACGTCTACTCAGCTCATGTTATATGAAAATGTGTTACGAAAAGATGGACTATAGTATACAGCAAATAACTAAATGTGGCTTGGCTTGAAATTAAAGATGTAAAATTATTAATTTGGTAACAGTTTCGAGATTTGAGTTTTGGGTCAAGCTAATATTGCCTACTAACACCAAAGCTGCGAGTTTTCAACAAGAAGTTATTCTTCAGGGGTATGGATGTAAATTAACAATACTACCACGTGTCAAAACTTGAACTGGATGCTTTTGGTATTATCCATTTACGCCTAATGGCATATGCCTTTTTTGTGCACTGTACGTTGCTTATGCTATCTGTACGAATATATTTATTTTCAAGAAAATGTATTAATCTTTTTTTTAAAAAAAAACAGAGTGCCTTAAGACTGAAAAGTGAAAACTAATATATTTTGCAAAAATAAAAGGGTTCTTTCAGATCCATTGCGTTTGAATTAAGCAAATATATAACATTTGGAAAAAAAAAAAAAAAAAAGAGAGGCAAATTTGTGACATAGAAAAATAAAATACACAAATATATTGGGAAACCCAAATATATTACAACTTAACTGATCTGAATACGTACTCCCTAAAGGAAACCCTGATATCTGAACTTTCTAGATCTGGGAATAATATATTGAATTTAAGACAGTCGTAAAATAATAAAATTGTTTGTTTGACCAACGAGCCAGTGAAACTTAAAAAACCTCTGATATGTAATGTTCATAACAATTTATTTGTAATGAAGACGATGTTAATATATACTGTACATTTCATGTGAGTTAATCATATTTCCACAGAAAAATGTAGTATTTTCTCTCTTTATTCGTTACTTAGGTTAAAAGAAACATCAAAAAATGTGGAAGAAGCAAAAAATAGAAAGAGAAAGAGAGTGTTTGATACCGTGAAGGGAAGAGAGCAGAGGCGGTGGCGCGTGGAGAAGCGCGTGGGTTTACCAGATGTTTCTTTAAGCCGGTGATCAACTGAAAGCTCTTCGATCTGGTTGCCATAAAATTCTGTTGCTTCGTCGGAGATTACGAGAGAGATAGGAGGATTTGTTTTCTACTCAAGATTTTGCTTCGTAATGTTATGATGACTTTAACTCCGTTTAGTGTGTGCTTATATAGATAGATGCATTTATGAATGCTTTGAAAGAGATGGGATTAGGAGACAAAACACTATCTGATCCACGTGTCTCACCAACCAAACGTTGCCGTTTGGTTTGCTTTTTGACGCCGTTACTTGACAAATGGACAGTGTGTGAATCTAAAGAAACGGCCTATTTAATACTATAGCCTTACTTTTATTTTGGGCCGGTTTTAAGTAAATCAGCCCATTTAAACCCATCTTAATAAGTCTTCTCCCTCTTAACCGACGTGCGACACGCGTTGACCGCCACGTGTATCACGTTCCTTACATCTTTCTTTCTTCCTCATGAGAAGAAGAAAAAAACAGGAAAACAAAAAATTCAAGCTGCGATTGCGAAGGAGAGACTTCAGATCTAGCTTGATCCGGTGATAATGGCTCTCGAATGGGTGGTTTTAGGTTACGCGGCGGCGGCCGAAGCGATTATGGTGGTGCTATTGACGATGCCGGGACTTGACGGACTCCGCAAGGGATTAGTCGCCGTCACGCGTAATCTCCTCAAACCGTTTCTCTCGATTGTTCCTTTCTGTCTGTTCCTCTTAATGGACATCTACTGGAAATACGAAACTATGCCTTCGTGCGACGGCGATTCCTGCACACCGTCGGAGCATCTTCGTCACCAGAAATCAATGATGAAATCCCAGCGAAACGCGCTTCTGATTGCGGCTGCACTTGTGTTCTACTGGATCCTTTACTCAGTTACCAATTTGGTTGTCAGGATCGAGCATCTTAACCAGAGGATCGAGAGGCTCAAGAACAAGGATTGATCGTCTCGTCTAAGGTCCAATCAATTAGTGTAATGCCTTTTTTTTGGTTTTCGAGGATCTTTCTTATTTCGCTAGGTTTTCTCTTTTTCAACGTCTCTGATCTGTGCCTTTATGTTCTGGAGATTGAAGGATTATTCCTACTTTTCTATGCTTGGATTCTTATTTGTTACCAGATTGAGATTGTTTTTTTTTGTTGAATTTTGATTGACTATTCTATATAATCTTCTCTTCAGGATAGGCATTGATGACACACACATGATTGATGGTTTTAGTGAATTGATTCTATGCCACACACTGTGAATTCTTATGCATTCAATGAATTAGAGCTTCAGATTTGGTAATCAGGGAACCCTTTTGTTTAGTTGTGACCGGGTGAAATCCAAATTGTCTCCTAGGTGCATTTCCCCTGTTACAGAATTATCATGATGCATCTGATCTGAACTTATAGTATGTGCTTTTGATATGCTTTGTTAGACACAGAAACCGATCATGAATCCCCTAGATTGACCAATACCAAACAATTATCATTCGTTACAAAATGATTGATTAGCGTATAATAAAGTAATCAAACGTCCTCGAGTTTCTAGGGAATTCAGTTTTAGAGTGGGGTACATCCTAAGTGAGTTTAGATTGATAATGTAGGAAGAGAAAACTGTTGATCATGTATATGCTTCTTCATGGACCTTGTTGTGAAAGATTTATTTTTTCTTCTTTGGCTTTCACATATTATGAGTTCTCTTAGTTACCTTATAAAATGTTTGAACTTTGGCCACTCTTACTTTCGAAATGTATGGACTTGAAGTAGATATCGAGATTTATGTCTGGTATCTTAGTTGGAGGAACTCAATACAGAGCCATACTTGGCCTGACTCCTGAGTAGTAATTTTGTTTACAAATTATAATTTCGGGTGGTTTTTGGAACGTAAACAATATTTTAGCATCTATGTACTCCGTTAATGAAATAGGAATATTCGTAGCCCATAAATATGGCTTTGCATTTACCCTTAGGGTATGATTGATGGCCTTCATGGCCTCATTACTTCATTAGAGGAATATAATTAGGGTAAAGAACAGATGATTCTGTCTTACCAGTTAAAATAAAAGCAGTAGAAAACTAGATGATTATATTTTACGCAGGAATAAGGCGAAAGAAGAAGCAAAGTAAAGGAAAACATTCTACTTGCTCTTCGTTGAAGAAAACGTATAGATTCCTCCTCTTTTTTTTTTTTTGGGCAAAGATTCCTCCTCTATATTTCTCATTATCCTCCCAAATTATAGTCACATCTTGATATGTTTTTTAAAAGCGATCATGTGCTAAGGGGCTTAGAAACGGTCCACAAATACTTAAAATAAAGTTCATTTATCAACCATGGCCCAAAAGTCTTTGAATCTGTTCAGTGTTCAATATAGTTCGACACGTATCGTTAGATTCGTTGCACAGAGATTCTCGATGACCTCGTTGTTCGTGCCATCTGTTTCCACTCACCACGTAACAAGTATCTAATCACCGTCCATTTTTCACTCTTTCCACATGTCATCATCTTCTTCCATCATTCCCAAATTATCTTATCTCTGACATAAAAAATACCTTATATAATGACCGCAAAACCAGAACCCATGTTCATGGGCGTGACATGTTATTTGAGAAACAGAACTCATTAGATAATGTTTTAAATTCGAATATCCATTACGTAAACAATTGTAAATACATTTTAATTACGGGCCGACTATATAAACACATTCATTAAAATAAATATAGTCATATAAATGCCACTGTTTCTGTTCTCTCAACTCTAAATAAAATTATTAGCGGCTTAGAAGAAAAAATGCACTATCAAGAACAGATGGAGTCGCTTATGTTGGGAGAAGAACGCAGACGCGGAAACTACGTCAGAGACGCAGACGCGGACGCGGACGCAGATGAAGGTGTTAACTCTCCCTCTTCTTTTCCAAACTCTCCTGATGATTCGGACCGTCGCACTTCTTCTTCTTCTTCAAGGTAATGAGAATCAGAAAGTTCCGGTTTTAACCCCTGATTTTAGATCTTGTCAGAACAAACCCCCAATAATTAGGGTGTTTTCTTTACAATCTTATGGTTTAGGGGTATAATACGGAATATCTTTTTTCGGTGGTGGAAGAAAATTATTCATTTGGTCCGAAAATTTTACATATTTTTTAATCTTATCACAAAATGATTGGGAAATTTTTATAACAGGAGAGGATTGTCGAAACATTACAAAGGTAAATCACAATCGTTCACAACGTTGGCAGAAGCGCTAACTGTGGAAGATCTCGCTAAGCCCGAGAATCCATTCAACGCAAAGCTGAAGCAGCGACGAGAGAGCCCTCACTGTCGTAGATTATCCGGATGCGGCGGCGCTTCGGAGCGAAATTTAAGTGGTCACGACGTTTTTCTCGCCGGAAACGATGGGCCGCAGCGACTCCCCGGTAACAGACCGCCTCTGAGAGCCCAGACGCTCTCGGCGGCTCATATTTCGGCTTTGCTTACTCGAACCTAAACCGGAACAGAACCGGGTTTTGTTTTGGACGATGTTTTTCAATCTTTTGTTTTCTAATTTTGTACAAGTTACTTAAAAAGTGTGTTGACCTTTTGATAATTTTGTAATTTTCCAGTTTAATTTAGAAAGCACTTGACAGTATATAATATACAAGTAACTGACCATATTTCTTATTCATCATAGTTTTGGTTATGGAAAAATTGAAAATTGATGAGTTAAGGAAAAAATCTAAATTCTGCAACAGTGTATCTTAATAGGCCTTTTCTTAGAGATTGATGGGCTAGACTGGAGGAGTCACGGTTCTCTATATCGGGCCTACAATGGGCTTTCTTAATTTACATGTCTGTTCGCTTTCATATTTACAGATGTCATCCCCTTTTTCTAACTTCTACAATTTCCACCACGTATTTTACCTTTTGTTTATATAACACACCTCTAAGATATCAGATATTTCTTGTTTTACTGCACATTTTTTTCATTCCAAAATTAATTTTTATTCAAAATGTTTCCAATTCACGCCAGAAATTATATGTTGATTGCTGAATGTTAATGTATGTGCATAGAAATCTTTTGGGGTAAATTCCGAAATAATTGACAGTGAGGGGGTTCTTATAAAATTTCTCTGAATTATATTGGATAATGCTGTCAAGATGACGTGGAGACCCATGGATGACGAAGCTTTGACTCGCTTGCTTCCTTGTACTGAAAGTTGACACCACGACACGATCCAATCTTCATCGGTTTTTGCAGTTTGAAGAAGATGAAGATTCAAACTCTTGGATTGATTTCAGTAGATCAAAAAATAACACTTTCTCAGATCTGAAATTTGTTTGAATTTGTGATTGTCCAATTCGTCGGTAACAATGGCTTCCTTGGAGATGAATGACCTAAAAAGTAAGTGTTCCGATAAACTCTTTGAATAGGGATGTGGTAATGAACTAGTATCCACTGATTTCGAATTGAGTTATCTGCTGAATCGTGGAGGAATATATTGGCATCTTCTGCTTTCTTCTGTTTCTTGGCTATGGATTCATCGTGTGTTAATTAGTAGTACCTATGGAGGCTAAAAAAAATTGTTTTCTTGCTCTTTTTGTTTTGGATTTTTTTTTTTACATTAACAAAAAGGCCTAAATTTTTAGTTATGCGTAGGGTATCAAAGAAAATTTTGAAACTTTGGACCGGCCCTGGTGGCAGAGATAGGGCTAGGTTTGACAGGGTTTGGTGTGTTCTTTACATTCCTGGGAGTGATATTTGTGTTTGACAAGGGACTCATCGCCATGGGGAATGTAGGTATATTTATACCACGATTTTAGCAAGCTTTTGATGTGTTATATCTACGTCTCTGTGGTCTATTTGAACAGGTTCTCTTCTTAGCTGGTGTGACTCTAACCATTGGAATCAACCCAGCAATCCAATTCTTTACTAAACGGCAGAATTTTAAGGTTCTTTCATTATCCCTTTTTGCTTCCTGTTTGATTCCTGAGGTCACAAGGCAGAGATCGAGAAGAAATCTCCACGGGTTTCATATCTTTGTGTTTTGTAGATTATACTAGTAGTTAATACATCTTCTTACCTTTTCTACTTCTTGATATACATACAGGGTACTATATCGTTTGGATTGGGTTTCTTGTTGGTTGTGTTTGGATGGCCTATTTTCGGTTTGCTTCTAGAATCATATGGGTTCCTTGTACTCTTCAGGTGGGTTTTTTTTTGGAGTTTTCTTCTCCTTAACAATATTGTGGTTTTACTTATTCATTTCTAGTTTTGATTTGTTTACTAATGTCTTTTCTCCATTCTTCTGTAATTGTTAAGTGGTTTCTGGCCTACACTTGCCGTCTTCCTTCAAAGGATACCTCTATTAGGCTGGCTTTTGCAGCAACCATACATCAGATCGGTACATCCAACTGCTCTTCACTTTTACTATTTGGACATATTTGCCTTATCCAATCCAACGTTTACGTCATTGAATCAGTTGCTGGATCGCTACCGTGGAAGGCGTGTCCCTGTCTAAACCCTCTTTGCACAGAAATACGTATCGTTATAATATACAAAGGTACATATATGTATATAAAACACTCTTGTTCTCCTTCTTTATGCGTTGTAAATGGTTCTTGGAACTGGGTCTTGTGGCTTTTTCTCTCTTTACGACTGTGATCATTATTAACCTAGTGAAAGCTTCTCCTATTTGATTATGGAGATTTGATTTGTCCAACCACTTAAGTCAACTCTATAGTTTATAGTTATGTTTATGGTTTTTGTATCTAAAACATCTCAAATGTTGTCTTTGTTATGTTGAGACTACTATATATCCAATTATGAAGGCTCATGGCATTTAGAGTTCTTATTTCTTAACATTCTCTTTTATGATATTTGACACAATTGGACTGTAGAAAATCAAATTTAGTTGTATTTTTATATTTACAAATTTTACATATATGTAATTAGAAACCTGATTTAGCAAATTAGAGCAATCAGAAACACACTAATGCAAAAATGTAAACGCAAAGTGACCTTCAAAGTTCGACACTTATTACATATATGTAAAATTTTGGTTCGTCTATCGTTCCCATCTCCTAGACTATAGTAAAAACTAATTCACAACTCTTGTAAATATTTTATTCACAATTTAAGTTTGAAAAAAAAAAAAAATCAAGAATTTCATGCTCAAAAGCACGTTTCATTTCTCACCTACTCACAGGTCCAGCGGATTTTTTTTAAAAAAATGACCACTGTAATAATATCCACAAGCAGCAAAAGCCAAAGCCACTCATTCTTTGCAAGTTGAAATATAATTTTTGTGGCCTATAAAATGCATACATCCATATTCCTTTCGGTAATTTACAATTTCATATCAATAGTTACGCATAAAATAATGGTGGTCAAAGTATATGGGCAGATAAAAGCAGCTAATCCACAAAGAGTATTGCTCTGTTTTTTGGAAAAAGGCATCGAGTTTGAAGTAATTCATGTAGATCTCGACAAACTTGAACAGAAAAAACCAGAACATCTTCTTCGTCAGGTATATAAGTCACAATATTTTTAAGTATTTTATCACAGACAACGTATTATTCATTACCTAATTCTTACGTTGTATACTTGTATTAGCCGTTTGGTCAAGTTCCAGCTATTGAAGATGGAGATCTAAAGCTCTTTGGTAAGATACATTCTCAAATATTTTATTGTTTTTTTTTTTTCTTAAATGACTACATGTAAAAAAGCTATTTATATGTTCGATTTTTGGTTTCAAGAATCGCGAGCCATAGCGAGGTACTACGCGACAAAGTATGCGGACCAAGGAACTGACCTATTGGGGAAGACATTGGAGAAACGAGCCATTGTGGACCAGTGGGTGGAAGTTGAGAATAACTACTTTTACGCTGTGGCTCTACCCTTAGTTATTAACATCGTCTTTAAGCCCATGTTTGGTGAGCCAATCGACGTCGCTTTGGTTGAGGAGCTAAAGGTCAAGTTCGACAAGGTCTTGGATGTGTATGAGAACCGGTTAGCTACGAACCGGTACTTGGGCGGTGATGAATTCACATTGGCTGATTTGACTCATATGCCCGGTATGAGATATATCATGAATGAAACCAGTTTGAGCGGTTTGGTTACGTCTCGAGAGAATCTTAACCGGTGGTGGAATGAGATTTCGGCTAGACCGGCTTGGAAGAAGCTCATGGAATTGGCTGCCTATTAAATTACTTCAAGTTTATATGGATGGTGGTGCTGATGATGATAACGTGCTATTAGTATTTTATTTTCCCCCATATAAAGTTAAATCGCATGTTATATTAATTGCCTTCATGGAGGATTTGATAGATTTTTCTACTAAAAAAAACTTTTAACACATTCAAACGGTTAACAACGAGGTTCCTAAACAAAAACACAACCGATCGAATTACACAAAAAAAAAAAAAATTATTAGAAATTATGTATGTTCTAGACGAAGTCAATATTGTGGTTATTCAAAGTAGCAACAGATTTGTTCTTGTAGTCCTCCTCATGAAAGTCTCAAGGAAATCTTCCATTCAAATCACAAAAGTCAACGTCAAACTGAGGTTGAAATAAGAATTGGAAAAAGAAACATCACAACTAATTAACCAAATCAAAGTGAGGAACGGTAACAACAATTAATAAGACGACTTTAATCATAATTTGTTCACTTCTCCATAAGCAGTTTGATAAACATGCTCTGTGAAGTCTTTGCCGTTTATTTGTCACCACCCACCAGGCCATAACCAGCCACATCCAAACCACCAAAACAATTTAACCGGTGGTAGTGTTGTTTGCAACCATCAAACCAGTTTTGCAATAAATGGCAAAAGGCTTCACAGCACCGAAACCATTTTGCATGCTATTGTGGCAAGACATATAGAGATAAAGGAAGCACAATAGCATGTTCTCTTGTTCGGAATATTTTTTTCCAAATTTAATATAATCTCGATTTACTAATGTAAGAGTGAAAAAAAAAAAAAAAAAAAAAGAATAGTAAGAGTGAGAAGGATGGTAAGAGTGGTGGTGATGGTAAGAGTGAAAAGCTTGGTAAGACTAAGAAGAGAAAAACAGATACAATGACAGCAATGAATCCTTCGTACAAAAGTTTTTCTGAAGATGTCAACGTTTGGTGTGCAGATATAGTTCACATTATATTCAGTTCCGGCCCAATATATTTGGGAGCCTTAGGGCAAAATACAATTTAAAAAAATTACGGATTTTTATAGTAAAAATTGTTATTTTAAAAATTTTGGGCCTTTTTATACATTTTTATAAAGAATTAGGCTTTTTAAAATATAATTTTCATATTAATAATATTTTTGAAAATATTTGGACCTTTTTTACATTTAATTTTAAAAAAAAAAAAAAACTTCGGACCGTCGCACCTCCGCTCCGCCGGGGCTAATTGTATTCAAAGTGATTGGACAAGCTTTTTCAAGTGATGCTAATGCTCTCATCCTATCTATGGATGTGAACAAAGGGTCAAACATTCTGTCTATAGGAAAAAAACTTGTCCAACCACTCTGAATACAATATGAACCATGTCTGCACACTTAGCTTTGACATCTTCAGAAAAACTTTTGTATGAAGGTTTCATTGCTGTCATTGTGTCTGTTTATCCTTTCTCAGTTTTACCATCCTTCTCACTCTTACCATCATCACCATTCTTACCATTTTTCTCACTCCTACCATCACTGTTGGAGGAGAATCTTCTCACGGATAACTCAAACTTACATCTCCTGTCATAAAGCTTGTCACCAGAGAAGAGAGAGATAGACTTGGATCTGATCCGAACGGAACAGTAACCAGCCACCATAACCCTTTTTACCGCCGGGGAGCCCAGTGAGGATAAGCCAATGTAAATCTGATTCAACTGTGCAATAAGGGATCTCAGATTCTTCGGCGGCTTGATTGGGAATTAGGGTTTCGTTCTTCTATGATTCTGGTTTGTTTCTTTTAAAAGAGGAGGCAATTGTGATCTAATGGGCTTGCCGTTATCTTTTATCTTCTTTTACTACTATTGGGCCCTAACCCGGATTTTCTGTAGTGAAATAATATTAAAGAGAATAATAAAAACTTTAGTAATATATCATATTTGTTCCAAAATCATCGAGATTCTCTAATGTTCTCTTGTTCCGAATATTTTTCCCAAATTTAATATAATCTTTGCTAATATTATCTGCTTGGCAATGATATTTGATTATTGTTCTTCTTTTTGGGTGATTTATAAGAGAATTCTCTTAAATCTACCAAACATATAGTTACAGTTTAAACATGAACTTATGTATTCATTCATACCTTCTTTTTCTTATTTTTTATGTTATATATCATGCTTGTATGTAAAAAATGAATATTTTTTGTTAAAAAATACATTTATATTTATATATGAAATTTTTACATATATATGTAAATTTAAACCTGATTTAGCAGATTAGATCAATCATATTTTAAACACACTAATGCAAATATAAACGCAAACGCAAACGCAAACGCAAGCTATTCAAAAGAAAAAAAAAATCCACACTTATTTTAAGTTGATGATACTAATTTAAATTTGGATCGTCTCATTTCTTGTTGTTGTTGTTGACTTGTTGTACATATAAGAAACATTTTTTAATAGTAAGAAATACAACAATTAAATGTAAATATTATTATATATATGTATATGTAATGCCTTTTTATCCAAAAGGGATAAATTAATAAATCAACAATTTAAAAAGAAAAGAATCAGAAAAAAATGGCAAGACGACATTTGTAGTATTGCTGAGCCACTAAACTAAAAAGTGTTAGTTTAGTCTTCGTGATCTTCTCAGCTCTTTGTAACCAAGAATCTTTGTCCTCTTCAATGAACAATGTTCTCTCTTCCACATTGTGATTAATAGGATTGACGTGAACTTTAACCGTGTGAGAAGGTACGACTTGGTGATATAGAATCTTCGTTGTTTGAGATGTCGAGATGAGCATTTGGTTGTTAAATCTAGTTTCCTCTTCAACCACATCGAATTCCGATGAATCAAGGGTTTCATTTTTATTTACGTCTTCATTGTCTTCTATCCTGTTTACGTTTTCCTCGTTATACGTATCAAACGAGAAAAAATCATCGATATCTATGTTGTCATTGGTATTGTTCCCTGTAAATTAAACAATTTGTAATTATCGTTAGAGAAGAAGAGCACCATAACAATCTTGAATTTGAAACCAAATTATACATTCATACTCACCATGAAATCCAAGATCTTGGTCAGTATTATCCAAACTCGATATGATCTTCTGATCTTCTATATAACCGGCCTTCTCAAATGCATGATGAATGATATATATACGTTAGGTTTAAAATATATATATAGTATAAACTAAAAGTATCTTTACATAGTATGATATAATTACCTGGTTCATATGATGATTTGACGTTATTAATTGTTGTTCATCATAATTGCCAACGTGGATCACTTGATCACCAACGCTATTATAGTGGTTGGAGTTACTTGCAGCGAAAGTAAAGTCATCAAAAACGCCATTATCGTTGTTGTGAGTCATACTCTTGAAGAAATCGCAATCACTAACCGAAGAGTTCTCTACACGCAACGGTGGTAGAGATATATTGTGTTGTAACATTGAACATTCGATCTCTGTATTAACCTGTATGAACATATAGAAAATCCATCATTAATAACATTATATGTTGATAGATGTATTAAACTTTATAGGGTGATCATCAAATTTTGAAATATTAGGTATACCTTATATGGAGTAGGGAACGGTCTATAAGAAGAACCGTAGTATTGTGACCAGTCCTCGTTGCTGATTGCGTTAGAGTTAAAACGCTCGTTGCCAAATCGCGGTTGGAATGTGTTTTGAACTTGATGAGTAGTTGAACTGATTTCGAGATCCGAACAAGCGTCAAAACGCGATGAGCAATTACCAATCACATTGGACATCGCGTGTACATATGACCGGTGCTGATCTCTTGGCTTAGCTTCAATAACAATCTTTTTGAACACACGACAAAGTGCATATGCGTCCTGAAAAATATAAATTTAGACAATTTTTCCTAATGCTATATACAATAAATTAGTTAATTAGCCACGAACCTGCATGCCGTAAGCAGAAGGCTCACATTCTGTTTCATCAAGTCGATATTCGTGCATGACCCAACCAGTTCTTATGCCGTGTGGTGCGCGCCCACGGTAGTAAACCAATGTCTTCTTGGTTCCAATGGCTCGGTCTCTCCAACTCACTCGGCGGTCTTTACCCGTAGCCTTCCAATAACCGCCTTTGGTTGCTCGGTTCGTCCTTGAACCGTTGGGATACTTCCGGTCCCGTGGGCTGAAGAAGTACCATTCTTGGTCTTTGCTCGGAAGCAAGGACTTCCCTATCATTGAATTTATAATTGATTACTTTAAGTAACGTAATTTATCAGAAGATATTAGATGATATAAATTTTAAGAATATGATTCAATTAAGTTGGCATTCATGTTTTCAGTTACAGTTTTTTATTAAAACAAATTATTTTATTTTATTTTTAATTCAAGTTCACATTTATTTTCTAAAAGATTTGGTGACTTTTTTATTCTCTGTGTAAAATATATTAGAAAATGTTTTTAAATCAATCATTTTTCCCGTAGAAGTATAGGTAAGGGTTTCTTCATCTATGCTATATTCTTATTCTTTTCTTCAATCTCTCATATGGGTTTCAGACAAATAATAATAATTCTTAATTATCACAGATGTTGTGATTTTAGTCCAAATATTTTTGCAGAATTTTGAAATCTAAAGTAGAATGGCGTAATTAATGTTTATCATAAATCATATCTTTCAAAAATTTAAATTTTAGTAAAGATCAAATTAATAGTACCTGGCAAGTCCCATGGCTCACACTTGTAAAGATCAACTTCAGCGATAACTTCAAGTTCGATTTCTAGACCGTTGATCTTTCTTTTTAGATAGTAAGTAATTAGTTCCTCGTCCGTTGGATGGAATCTGAAACCTGGAGGTAACGAGACAGGAGCCATATAAATAATCTCAAGTTGTTTTTGAAATTATTTTGTTTGAATCAATTTTAAGAAAGAAAGAGAGCTAGGGAATCGAGAGGAAGAAGAAGATATTAGCTGGAGAATAGATATGTTTTGTGTTCGTTGAGGGTTTGGAGAGCAAGGTTATATATAAAGAGGTAATGAAAAAGGAGAGGCAAAAGTGAATAAAGGGAAGGTCCCCATCCCAAAATAAGAAATAATGATAAAAATTTAATTAATATTTAAAATTCAACAATTTTTTTGTCTGACGAATAGATCTAACTCTAAGTTTTTTTTTTTTATAATAATTAAAATGATAACAAATAACATGATCACGAGAGGATTCTGTACTTAACCGGAATAAT